TTTGAGAGGCGGAAAGGCATTCTGTAAAGTCTATAGAAGATGAAAGTAATAGTTCTTAAATTCCAGAAAGGTAAAATAATAAAATATGAAGAAAGAGAAGGAAAAAAAAGAACAATAAAATTTCCTTTAAAGCAAATCCTTATCTTTCCTTCTATTAATTGGGATCTCCAGTTCAAGTATTAAAAAAGAAACTACCTGAGAATTGATCAATTGTTCCTCATTTTAGACAATTGATCTAGCTCATCTCTCCTACCACAATCTAATTTACATTTTGAAGTAATTCACAGTGATTTTTCCTTATATTTCCTACATTTATGCTCAAATGCATACATACACACACACTTACATGCACACATGCACACACATGCATGCACACTCACTCACACACACACACACACACACACACACACACACACACACACACACACACCCCAAGCTATTGATGACCATTTTACATGTGTTGACCTTGTTCATATGGTCCCTTTATTATTATATTTTCCTTTTAGCCTCTCTTTCTCCTTATGCCCAAATCCTGCTTTTCTTTCTGTGATTCTCTGAAGGTTCACTTTCCCTGATCTTAACAGCTTAAACCAATTCTCTACTTCTTTTGCAGTCTTACTATACCAAGTCTATTCCATATCCAAGAAGCTTCAACACATTTTGCTGCACTTTAAGATACCTGCCTGGTCACGACATTGGAAAATGGAAGGGAGGGCAAATACATCCCAGGTGAGAGCCGTTCTCCTCCATCCTTGACACTTCTTCCATGTAGCTAATGAAAGAAGATAACTGACCCTCTCCATAATAAACTTCAGAATTATTTTTCTATTATAGTGTACATGTTTGGCTGTGTTCCCACTTTCTACCCAAAGTAACTATGTACCTTTCACTGTGTCACTGGTGTCTACTAATAAGTAGAATCTGTTGTCAAATAAGAAATATAAAATTGGTGTTCTCAGTGTAGTGGGAGATGGAGGCAAAATACCAGCTAATATATAAAAAGGAAAATAGCAGATATGTCCTAAGCGGATGAGATAATAGTGGCAGGGAAATGGTTGACATAGGGTATAGCCTATGAAGAGATTTAAAGACAAGACAGGGGCTCACTGTTCAAGTAAGAAAGTCATCTCAGCAGAGAAAACATCTATAAAGTCTCTATAGCCAGTTGAGGTGGTACGAACAACAAAACGATGGCTAGGATACCATGTAATAAGGGATAGAAGAGTATGAACGTGGTTGAGGATTACATCACATAGGGCTCAGATTACCTAAATCGTGGTAAGTTTTGAATTTTTTTAATATAAGGGAAATCATGAATTGAAATAAGAGAGATGCTTTTCAACTTGTCATGGGTTAAATCTTAATAGACCAATTATAAATTGAAAATATCACATCTAAAATGCACTGAATATACTAAACATGAGGAATATCATAACTTTCTGCCACTTCCCAGTATAAATCAAATCCTACTGCATCAGAAAAAGACCAAAGTTACAGTTTCTACTGAAAGCTATCATTTGCACATAATCACAAAGTCAACAAATTTGCCAGACACTGGTGGCTCAAGCCTGTAATCCTAGCTACTCAGGAGGCTGAGATCTGAGGAGCAAGGTTCAAAGCAACTCAGGCAGAAAAGTCCAGGAGACTCTAATCTCCAACTAAACAGCAGAAAAAAACTGGAAGTGAGGATGTAAATTAAGTGGCAGAGTCCAGCCTGGAGCACAAAAATTCAAGGACCACACCCAGGTCCTGAGCTCAAGCTCCAAGATCAAAACAAAACAAACAGCAACAAAAGCAACAACCCTCCAAGTCAGGTGCAGTTGTTCATATTTACAATCCTAGAAGGTAGAGTTAGCGAGGATTGTGGTTCAAGGCCAACCAAGGGAAAAAGTTAGTGAGACTGCATCTGAACAATAAAGCTAACATAGTGCAATAGCTGTCATGTAGCTACATGTGAGATGTAGATTTGAGGAGCATAATCTGAAGGTGGTTTTGTCAAAAATGTGAGACCCTATCTGAAAAAGTAATTGAAACAAAATGGGCTGGAGATGAGGCTCCAGTGATAAGAGTACTTAACTAGCAAGTTTGAGGCCATGAGTTGGAATCTCAATATTGCTCCTGTATTGTATGTCTAAGTACCATAAATCAGGGATCACAATGTATATGACCTACAGGTTCAGGAGACTAGAGTGCTTGCTATGTGAGAGATTGTATTACAAAGGGCTCTGGTGATGTACTGGAAACTGGAAAACAAGGTATGAATTGGTGGAGTAGAAATAAAAAGAAATGCAAAAATAGGTGGTGAAGAAACAGTTTGTTGTACTAGGTAAAAATTGAATGAATGAGAAAGAGAAGACAATAATACAACTTTATTCACTAAATTTTTTTCATCTACCAATCACATGGCCACAGATACTAACATCAGGATTAGCATTTAGTGCATTCCATTATTAACATGTTAATTTTTCCATCTTGTCTGAGCTATAAACCTATAGGATTTCAAATCTGATAAGAACTCAGCTATCTTCCTTCTACCTGATAAATTCCAACTCAATCCTCACCTGTTATTTCAAAATTTCTGTGAGGCATTAATTAGTTAAATTCTTGTGCAGAATTTTTTTTTAAAAATCCCTTTCTTCCACATTAATTCTGTGTGTTGTGTTTACTTTTCTGTATTTGATTATGTTCTCATATCCCCAACAGACTGATCTGCCCAGGGACACAGAATGCTTTTAGCCTCTGCACGCTTGATGTATTATTTTCAGAATGAAAGATAGATACATAAATGGGAAAGTAGTTGGCGATTTCCTTTTGTCTAAACTATGGCTAGAGACCATTTTACCACTTATTAAATCCTATCTGGAGAACATTTTTAAACTTTAAAAATATAGCCTTTTCCAATTTCAAATCATTATGGAGAACTTCTTATATTAAAGTTAATATCCTTTCTCAAATACTCCACCTTTTGATATCAGTTCTTATTAAGTGGGTAAAGGTTATGAAACTTCAAAATAATTTAATCATTTTTATAGAGATAATTAAGTCACAAAAACTGTATGTAAAATGACTTGTACTCAGTCAGAAACAGATTATATGAAGTCCATTAACTGCCTGCAGGAAGAAAGAGTATTATGAAGCATATATAAAATCCCAGAAGGAATAGTTACTGACCTAGAATGACCCAAATTTGTCCAAGAAAAAGAATAAAAATCACTATCAGCCCTTAATTTTCCTATTATGTACAGACTATTTATTTTTAAGTACCATATATGCATGCCCACACATACAAAATATGTGTTAATATTTTAAATTTCTAATAATTATTAACAATGAACAATTTTCTATTATAAATGAGTTTTGGGCTTTTTTTTAAAATGGGATTGTCTTAGCCCTCACTGGCTTCTATATCCAGTAACTATTGCCTCCACCTCCCAAGTGCTAGGAACATCAAATCTGGGTTTTCATCTCTGGAAAATGGAGATAATATCACTGTCTTATGAGTTTATGGTCATATTTAAATGATAAAAATCCCTGCATATCTCACATAAATTTTTATTATGTGAGCACTCAATAAATAAAATACCACTACAAAAATCAGATCTCGTGGTGGGGGAAGGGGTGGTAGGGGAAAAACAAAGGAGGAGGCAACAAGGCTCCATAGGAAATGTATTCATTACCTTACTCATGTAACTATAACCCTTCTGTACAGTATTTTTACAATAAAAATAAACCAAAGAATGTTAACACAAATGAAAAAAAAAATCAGATCTCAGTTGCTTGAGTAGTTAGGATTATAGATGTGAACCACTGGCGCCTGGCTTAATATAACAACATTTTAAATGATGTAGTCAATATTCTTCTCTAGATCAGATCTACACTAGCCAGCCAGTAAATTAAATCAGCCTCAAAGGAGACAGATCTCTAATTGATTAAAACACACCATAGACTATAACTGTATAGTAGAATACATAGTTTTGTTTATGGAATAGGTATATATATATATATTAATGCTCACAAAACAAAAATATAGTAATATAAATACATGAAATATAAAACAAAGAGACATATATATGCTAAATATACAAATAACTTATTTGTCTACTTAAAGTTCTATTCAGTGAATTATTTCTACTTGACAGCTGAAGAAAATGACACTACAAGATGTCATATAATTTGACAGACACATCATGCAACTAGTAAGTAGCACATCTTGGATTAAATCAACATCTGTGTACCTCAGAGTTGTCTTTTTTTTTCTTTGCCAATTCTAGGTCTTGAAATCAAGGGCCTGGGAGCTGTTCCTGAACCTCTGTGTGCTCTACCACTTGAGCCACAGCTACACTTCTAGCCTTTTTTGAGTAGTTTATTGAAGATAAGAATCTCACCAACTTTCCTGCCCAGAAATGAGCCACTAGCACCCAGCAGAGTTACCTCTTTACTCATGATGATGTATATTCCTCCCAGGAATGAAAACAAACAATGTGCGATGACATTGAGAATTATTTTAAAGTCTGCTACTGTTAATAGTAGCCATTGGTACTACAATAGTATTAAACTTGGGAGAAATATATGACACCCTGATTCTTTCAACAACTAAGTTAATTTCTGAAGGCATCAATATCTAAGATAGATAGATAGATACATAGATACGTAGATAGATACATAGATACACAGAAAGGTGAAAGCTAGGTATAGTTAGATCTGTTTGTCTGTCTAGAGATGTGGGGAGGGAAAACAGGGAAGAAGGTAAAAGAAGAGAAGAGGGAGGAGGAGGAAGAAAAGGGGAAAGATAAGGAAGAGGGGAGAAAGGGTGAGAAAATAGGACTTGGTTAGTTTGGAAGGTTTTCTGGACTAAGATATCCTATTAAATTCTAGGGCTCTCATTTAAGAATGAAATATTGCAAAATGACCATCTCACAAGCTATTCCAACAATATTCTCGATGTGCCAACAGTTGATCATGCCCCGTGGGATGCCTGGACATACAGAGGACTACCTTACCTGTAAATGAATGGAGCCACCGTGGCAGTATTCGGGTGACTGTGTTGCTGCTGCTGAGGGAGTTGGACAGCACCATTTCCTGTGCTCTGCCCACTGCTTTGTGCTGATTGTCCCATACAGGAACTGGAGGGAGAAGCGTGGCCAGCTTCCCTTCCCTCCAAGGGAACAGGGAAACTGGATGTGCTTGCTTTCTCTGAGGTTATGGGTTTGGGTAAGGACTGGGAAGGGCTTCCCTTGGTAGTCCTGAATTTTTCTGACTCTTTGCTTGCTGTGCTGCCTGGTGAAATGGTTTGCTTTGCTGTTGGCACCTTCGAGCCAGGTTTTGGAATCCCACTGGAAGATGGAATTAGGCTTTCCTTCTTGGCTGCTGGTGTCTTACTGCCCTTTGGGATCAAGCTTGCAATCTTAGAGGTCTTTTTTGGAGCTGTCTCTGTCAACTGATCCTTTTCTTCCTTGACTGGTTTTTCGGTGCACACCTTACTTTTGTCTCTGTTCTTTTCCTCTTTTTCTTTTGGCTGTAGCAAAGACTTTTTATTGCTGAGATTTTTGCTTCCAGCCTTCGGAGGGGTCAATTTAGGTGACACTTTGGGACTGCTATTTGTGGAGCCACCACTAGTCAGAGCAGGGTTAAAACTTTCTATCTCACCAGATTCAGAAAAGACATCATCATCCTTCCCACCATCGCCGAGTCCTGAACTGGAAGACTGCGGGGGACGTAATGCAGTCCGGGCATTGACCAACTTGAATTTTTCAAGCATGGATTTCTGTCCTGTGGGAGCAGTTTTGACTCCTTCTGAGACAGGTGGCTTCAATCTGTCTGAAGATGGTGTGGGGGAGGTGGCTGGGCTTGACTGCTTCACAGTCAACATGGTAGACGTGGCACTGTGCTTGACATTCATGGACTTGCTGCGCCACGGTTTGCTGGCACTCGGAGAAGGGATAGCAGAGGCAGGAGGCTGCCCAGCCGTGCTGGGAGGCGGTACATTACCATTTATACCTGAAGGTGGCTGAGGTCCTTTGGAGGATTCTGAACATGGTGAAGGGAGAAATAAAGAAAAGCCAATTAGTCTTGATCATTTGTGTCACAACATTAAGCTTTTCACTACAGATACATAGAATTGTCTCTCCTCTTAACTGAAGAGAGAACAGTGTGGCATTTATGACTCCTATTAGGTGATTTTCCCATCTGTCAAAACATGCAGAGTATTCAAAAGGTATTGATTTTGGAGAAGAAAAAGAAAGTATGCTTTTTTCCACTCTGAAATTACTTTTCAAATTGCTTTGCTAATCACTGATAGCATCAGGTAAATAAAACAGTACCCAGTTCCTGTGTGATTCTTTGTATTTTTCCAGCTAACATTATAGCCCCTAGATTAAGTAGATATTCTTCATTGCCTTGTCAGAATCTGTTAGGGAATTAATATGGAGAAGTTCCTTTAACATACGATCTGATTAAAAATGCTCATGAATCATGATTTATCTTTTTTGTTAGTTATTTCTTTATGTAAGGTATTTGTTGATGTTTATGCTGCTGTAGGGCAGATAATCTAGTTGATCCATCTCTATCTTTATTTTTATAATAATCCGATAAGTCATGTATTAATATGATTTCCATTTTTTAGATACAGCAACAAAGGCAAAGAGACTAAAGCAGTTGTTCAAAGTCACACAGCCAAGGTTTCACCTGACTTCACAGACTGTACTCTTGACCAGTAAATCTGCAACTTTTGGCAATAATCTTTAATAATCTTTAAGGGGAAAAAGGAATAATTAAATTAGAGATACTGTTAAACCTAATAGATGATGAAAAATAGAAATAAAACTTTTCATAGTTAAATGATCAAGAGAGGTACTGGGAGGAATGTTCTTTTCTCAATGTTCCAGAATTTGGCCTCATTACAGTTTATTATACAGTCATAATGTGAAACCATACTGCTTGCATTTTAAATGCTTTTTTCAAAAAGTCAAAAGTCATGCCACACAGTATGTAATCAAGCCAAGTTGTCAAGATAATATTCACTTGAATATAAAAATATAGAAAATCATAGTTGTCAAGTTAATGCCACCTCAATTACAGAGATTCCAATGGAGAGAGTTTTTCCTCCAAATATGTATTACACACAGTCTAGGGCAATAGTCTTTCTAGGAATAATAATAATCAAAGCCATATAGTTCCAATATGGCTCTACTCTAAGTTGATTATCTTTGAGTATTTACTGAGTGCCTACTCTATTCAACATACTCCTAGATATATTATAGTCTTGTTGACAAAAAAAAAGAGCTATAAAAGATAAATGCTAAGTATAATGGATGATAAATGACTAGGACACTAAAAGGAAAATGCTGGAGAAGATCCTAGATGGACAAGACCATAGAAGTCACACAATTAGATCATGATAGACAATATTAGGGTGATGTGTAGGCTATCAAATCAAATGGAACCTTTATAAACTTTTCTAAAAAATTATGTCAGAAATATGTAGGGGTATATATCGAGATATTAATTTGGGAAGAAACACAGTCCCTCCAAATCAAAGCCTAAGATTAATTATTTCATTGAGTCGTTATTTTATTTTCTTACATTGATATCAAAAGTTATTTGTAAGCTGGGTGCCTGTAATCTTAGCTACTCAGGAGGCTAACATCTGAGGATTGCAGTTTGAAGCCAGACAGGACAGGAGTGTCTGTGAGAATCTTATCTCCAATTAATCACCAAAAAGCTGGAAGTGGAGATGTGGCTCAAGTAATAGAGCACTAGCCTTGAGCATAAATGCTGTGGAATAACACCCAGGCCCTGACTTCAAACCACAAGACCAGCAACAACACCAGAAAAAGTTGTTTGTAAGCTAGGCACCGGTGGCTCCCACCTATAATCCTGGCTACTCAAGAGGCTGAGGGTTGCAGTGAAGCCAAACCAGGAAGTAAAGTCCTTGAGATTCTTTTTTTTTTAATTGTGAAAATACTGTACAGAGGGGTTACAATTACATGGGCAAGATAATGAGTACATTTCTTATCAAGCATTGTTGCCTCCCCCTTTATTTCCCCTTCCCATCCCTTCCCATCTCCCACCCTCCTCTCTTCACTTCCCCCTCCTTCCCCCTCCCCCCCTCCCTGCTCCCACCAAAGTTGTAAAGTTCATTTTCGACATAACGACTTGTACATCTCATTGTTGCAATGGGTCGACCCGTATCCCTAATTAAAGAATTTGTTATTGACCTTCCCCTCCACAAATTATACCGACATCAAATACAGTGAGAGCAGGGGTTATACCATGGGGGAGGGACATAACAAGCAACAAAGAAATCATCTTATAAATATGTCAGAAACAATCGCATGAAAGAAAAAACATTTATTTCCAATTAACCAACCAAAAGCTGAAAGTGTAGACATGGCTCGAGTAGTAAATTACAGCATTAACCCTGAGTGTAAAAGTTCAGGAAGAGTGTCCAGGCCCTGAGTTCAACCTCAAATACTGATGCATGTGCAGGTCCAACACAAAGGCATGCACGGAGCACACACAAAGCACACACACACACAACACATATACACACAAAGTTATTTGTGATATTTCTAGCCCTATCAGGAAAGTCATGTTAATATTACAAATACAATTATATAAACTAACATTCTATTGAAAGTTGTTAAATATCATTATTTCCCAACCAAATGAGTTGGGAAGTGCTCACATTTCTAATTCACATTGATAGCAACCAAAGCTTAGTAAGCCTAAACGACTCATCCCAGTGGTGCACAGCAAATGTGAATTATGAAGAGCTATTTTTTGATTCCACACTGTGTGATTGTATGATTACCACAGGTTATTTGACATTTTAAGTGTCTAGAAGTGGTTCTCCAAGGAGCATACATGTAATTTAGGGATCTTATTGAATGTACACTGTGATTATGTCAGTCTGAAGGGGCTGGGAGATTCTCCATTCCTAACAAGCTGCCTGGAGATGTGAGTGATAAGGGTCACAGACCATGTTTTGGTTAAACTAATTCCTAGGTCATGAAAATTGTTTCTCTTAATGGTATCCACATTGTCTAAATCCATTAAGTGTCCTATAACGAAGAGTATGAATATTTTTCACTCTTTAAACTTTCAGAACCTTGGTCAGCTCTGAGTTCATCTTGATGGTTACAGCTTCATGGAAATAAAGGAAAAAAATCACCAATAACAAAGCAAGATCTTCAGATTTTTCTAGCGTTGTGTTTGCTTTTCACTTTATTTGAACCACCAATTTCTGTGAATCTACTATGTATTTACATCTATAGTAGGGAAGTCCAAAAACTTGTATCCTTGAGTGGCTGGAAGGTTTTAGTAGGAATGAGAGAAAAGGGTAGGAAAGTATCAGTCAAGATGCTTTGTAAGTAGCCGATAGACAAAGAAAGTAAAAGGTTGTGTTCTTCCTCTAGAAGAGAAACCAAGCTGAGGGCACTGACCAGACAGACTGCTATAAAAGTTCAAGTACAGCAAAGGAATTTGAACACACTTCTAAATGAGACAAGAGGGACTCAAGATTATGGCACCCTCATCCAACACACAGTAATGGTGATAGGAACAGCTGCAGAATTATTCTCAGTGGAGCACACACAGTATAAGACTCTTCTCCATTCATGACTCGAAATCCATCCCCAGCCTATCTCCGCACAGCAGCAATGAGGTGTTTCAGGTTTCATTAATAGGGTAAATCACAGGTCGTTGAACATCAGGAAGACACTGGAATGGTAAGAGTCTCCCAGGACTCCTCAGGACTAAGGGTGCAGAACAACACAGCTGAAATGGAAGCATCTGTGGCTTCTCCAGGGTAGCTGCAGTACAAATCCCAGGCTCTTCCTCTTTCATACTAAATAACCACTACCTTGCACCCAATGACATATTTCTGAACACTGATAACTCCTGCTATGGAGAAAAGATACTTAATTCACAAATACAGTAGCATTCCTGCAATGGAGTTGTGTTCTGCATTTTCCTGGTCTTTCTCTGCTTGCCACCCTGCCTGTTCTCCTTGAACTCCAAAAAGCCATTTTCTTTCCTCCTGGTTCCATCTACACATCCATCATCAACAACTCCACCATAACCAAATACCAGCACTCACCAATTACGTGCTTTATTCTGAGCACTTTGTAAGCTGAATACCCTACTGAATACAAGAAAGCTTTGGCATCTCAGATCTCTAAGGAAGGAAGGAAACGTTTGAGCAATATGAGATGGCAATCAGTATGGTAGGTGATTAATGTATCAAATAGCAGTTTGGCTCACAATACCCAAAACTTTGGGAAAAAGTAGAAAAAGTAGCATTCGAATGCAAATGTGTCTTATTGCTATCTTTTCCTTAACACATAGTCTTGCAAGAATGATTATTGTGTGAAATGTCTATTTTATGATGACGTAATGGTATTGCAAGGATTTTGTTCAGGTTTCTACCACATCATTTGCAAAGTAAGAGTGCCACTCTGTGGAGGGCTGGGGAATTTAGGTATGTTTCCATTCACCAGCCAGTCATTTTCTTTCAAGTATGCAATTTGCATTCAGGTAAGCATAATGCATGAACACTTCAATATGCATGTATGTATATGTAAAGAAATAGCATATATGACCAAGACTAGTTACCTTTCATAAACTGATATATTCCTAGTTGTGTTAACTTGTGAAAACTTTTTAAATCCGTGAAATTACAATATTGACATCACATTTTAGGCTTGTGTAAGTACTAAGTAATAAGGAAAAGAGTTGTAGAAAGATGCATAATCAAATCATCAGTAAAGTCATATAAGTAAGATTCATTTGCATTACTTTGAAAAGCAGATGAAACAGTTCAGTTCTTTATGGTAAATTCAGAATAATTAAGAAAAAACAGAAAAGTGCTTAAGAGCTAAATCTCTGTGTTTTAGCAGATAATGAGTGGCTGAAATTCCATGACTAATGCTAAATTCACATGAACTCTACTAGTTTCAAACTATTGAGCTAAAATGTTTGTAAATCCTTGGAGTCAGTCCTACTAATTTTATGCTGAGTGTATATTA